GAGCTCTCCATTTCTTCTTCACTATTCACTCTGTACCAATCTCTGTTCTGTACTGGGGCAACCCCCTAAACTTGCTCTATTCTTTTCTTTAAGAAGTCGTGTCAACATCAATGTGTATAGCAGCTCAATTCACAGTAACCAAGCTACGAAACCAAATTAGGTGGCCTTTTACAGATGACTGGATAAATAAAATGTGGTATATTTTCTTGGAATGGAGTGGAACAGAATGGAATACTACTCATCCATAAAGAAAAATGAAGTTACGACATTTGCCGGGAAATGGATAGAACTAGAGGCTATCATGCTAAGTAAAATAAGCCAATCCCACCCACCCCCCCAAAGAAAAGGCTGTATGTTCTGTCTGATATGTGGATACTAATACACAATAAGGGGTAGCAAAAGGGAAGAATAGAAGTTCATTGAATTAGACAAAGGGGAATGAAGGGAAAGGGTGGATGGAAATATGAAAGACAGTAGAATAAATTGGACATAACTTTCCTTTTTTCATATATGAATACACAACCAATATAACTCCACATCATATACAACCAAAAAAATGGTAAGTTATACTCCATGTATGTGTAATATGTCAAAATACATTCTACTGTTGTGTATAACTAAAAAGAAGAAATAAAAAAAACAAGAATAAAACACACACAAAAGAAGTAGTATCAAAAGTACAGTAATTGTACTTTCCAAATTTAAATTTTAGATCATGTGCTCTAACAAGTAGAAATTTGCTTAGTAGGAAAATAGGAAGTAATATTTGAAACCAAGACTCTTCCTAAAAAAAACAAAACACATGGTTGTTGAAGCCCAAAGAAGATAAAGAGGACAGTCTGTGTTGTAATCCTCCGAGGCCCCACCTGGGGATCTGGTCTAGCCTCTAGTTTCCTCTCCTACCTTGTTCTTCCTCCCACAGGTTGCCCCAGACACACTGACCTCATTTTGATCTCTTGAATCAGACAGGCTTAACTCCATATTGATGCTTTGCACTGACCCTTCCTTCTCCCAGGTACCCTCTTCCCTAGATCTTTGCAAGACTCCCCTCTTCTTAGCATACATATGTCAGTCTAAATGTCATTTCACAAAACCATCCCTTGTAGTCTCCAACTCTAGTAGCCTCTTGCCTTAGTCAATGTCCATTCTGTGACTCTTTTTTTTTCCTAGCATTTGCTTTTAACCAAAAGTATGTGCATAAAATTCATCTCCACTTCTACCTGCTATCTGCTGCAATGCAAACTTCATAAGGCAGGACTTTGCCAGTTTGTTACCACATTCCAGCACCTTCCATAGTGCCTAGGACATGGTCAGCAAACAACAAAAACTGCAGAATAAATGGACAACCACTGTTCCTTCAGATACACAATGCTCCATTGTCATGTATCCTCAGCCCCCATGGAATAGAGGATTGTGTGACTTACTCTTGCAAGTCTAAGTCCTCCCAGACATCTGTAGGAAAATGAGTATCCCATGGGGAAAATAAATACAGGAAGCCCCATTTGGGGTGGGTGGGAAATGGAAATCAAAGATTAGGACATGCAGAAACAGAAAGGGAATGAGCTAAGTGTAAGAAATCTGGTAAAAGTGGGGCTTTTAGGTTGCATTTCTGGAATATTAAAGTTGGACTGATAGTGAAGATAACTAGACTAGGCTTTGCCACAAACTCATTATACAGCCTTGAGTTTCAAATGTCACATTTCTAAAATGAAGAGGCAGGAAATCTCTGCAGTACTTTCCAGTCACCATTCTTTAAAAGCAAGAACCTATAAGGATCTGACATAGTTTGAATCCAGAATGTCCCTCCAAGTCCCTAGTGTTAGGGTTTGGTCTAAATTTGGTGCATTGGGAAGTGAGGGAAACTTTACAGATAGAGCCTAGTGGGAGGTCTTCAGGTCATTGGGTCACACTCTCAAAGGGGATAGTGGAACCCAGCCCCCTCCACTTTCTCTCTTTTGCTCCTGGCCATGAGTGAAAAGTTTTGTTCTTCCTTCACCTGTGGCGATTCCCTCTCAGGAGGAAAGGCTAACTGCAGTGTGCAGATGACACAGGGCCTGTCGCTGACAGGCTTTGAATATGTTTAAGAGACTGTAGGACAATGGTTAAGAGTCTTAACTTTATAGCTGGTTTCAAATACTGCCTCTGCCACTTACTAATTACCTGACCCAAGTGGGTTATTAAACTCATACCTCCACTTCTTCACCTGTAAAATGGGAGTGCTAATAATAGTAAGCACCCCCAAGAATTGCAGGGAGGATTAGGTTAATATCTGTAAAGCACTTAAAATGGGGCTGTAATTATACTTCCACTGCCAAGGCCATCTCTGGCTAACATGCATGCCTCAAGCCTAATAATATTCAACACTTGTCTCTCCTCATCCTGATGCAACTTTCAATAAGCAGGATACTTCTTCCCATGTAGATTTGCTCACAGAGAAAAACAAAAAATGTGCCTATCACAGATATTCTGAGAAAGTTCCATCCCAGAGCCTGCAATTTCTTATTGCAAATTGATAAATTACCTGTGGTATGTCTGGGCCTCCCAAATTGTTTGGCCACAGAAGCAAGATGTAGGCATGCTGTTAATGGAGAATATGTGGTCTTGGGACAGATCGGTTTGGATTTCAAAGTCTTCACACTGGCATTTTAGCGTCCATCTCAAACTTAATGTTTTGGGGCTAGAATGCAGAGGCCTAGACTCTGACTTCCCTGCATAGTGATGTTCAAAAGTTCTCAACCTCTTAAGCAAGGGCCAGACCTGGCTGACTTTCCTCCCTATAGCAATACCAGCTGTCAGCTCACTGTTGAATCCTGTGCATCACTAAGGGCTAAAGAGCCCACAAGAATGCAGTTCCTGATGTGGGTACCTTTGCATGAAAGAATTAAGAGCTCTTAGAAAACCAGTTGGTATGAAAATACAGGAAAGGGGAGAGCTGAAAACAGAAGCATTATTCCCAGACCCACAGTGACACCACTTTCTCAAGAAAACTTCCAAATATTTTCAATTCATTATATGACTTCGACTGAGACTTCACTCTTTAGGAATGCATTTGATTAAAAGAGTAAGTCATCCTGGAAAGGATATAGAACGTTTGATGATGATACACATCAGTGGAATGATATACATGTTCAGTAAGATTTCCTTCCTTCAGACACCTTGCTGGGTTGAGTTCACCTTGAGGTACTGGCAGATTAGTGAGTTTTGTTTTGTGTTTGGAGAGCAGAGAAAGAGAGAGCATTCAGTGGGAAAGGGAGGTATATGAGAAGTTTGAAACACTTTAAATGAAAAATGAGACCTGCTTGGAGTCTCCAGGGACAACTTGAGAGGTTCCAGGACAGGAGAAGTCTGGGATGTCCAGCTATGGTATATCTTATGGTGCTATTTCTGGATTGGCCTAAGAAGGTAACCGAGAATTATAATATCATTACCTTGGGGGGAAAATTCAGTTTTCAGATACCAGTAAGCAACTATATTATAAAGATGCTTTAAAGACAAGCCATTCTATCTGAGTTCTTTTTTTTTTTTAATTTTTTATTGTTGGTTGTTCAAAACATTACATAGTTCTTGATATATCATATTTCACACTTTGATTCAAGTGGGTTATGAACTCCCATTTTTACCCCATATACAGATTGCAGAATCACATCAGTTACACATCCATTGATTTACATATTGCCATACTAGTGTCTGTTGTGTTCTGCTGCCTTTCCTATCCTCTACTATCCCCCCTCCCCTCCCCTCCCCTCCCCTCTTCTCTCTCTACCCCCTCTACTGTCATTCATTTGTCCCCCTTGTATTATTTTTCCCTTTCCCCTCACTACCTCTTGTATGTACTTTTGTATAACCCTGAGGGTCTCCTTCCATTTCCATGCAATTTCCCTTCTCTCTCCCTTTCCCTCCCACCTCTCATCCCTGTTTAATGTTAATCTTCTTCTCATGCTCTTCGACCCTACTCTGTTCTTAGTTACTCTCCTTATATCAAAGAAGACATTTGGCATTTGTTTTTTAGGGATTGGCTAGCTTCACTTAGCATAATCTGCTCTAATGCCATCTATTTCCCTGCAAATTCTATGTTTTGTCATTTTTTAATGCAGAGTAATACTCCATTGTGTATAAATGCCACATTTTTTTTATCCATTCGTCTATTGAAGGGCATCTAGGTTGGTTCCACAGTCTTGCTATTGTGAATTGTGCTGCTATGAACATCGATGTAGCAGTGTCCCTGTAGCATGCTCTTTTTAGGTCTTTAGGGAATAGACCGAGATCTATCTGAGTTCTTAAGTAGGGTACTTCCTCTGTGGGATCTGGAAAAGAAAGAGAAAGCCCCAGAAAGCATTTGATCTGAGGGGTGGGGGATATAGGACAAAGTATGGAGTTCAGATTGAGTTCCAGTTGGAGGAACATTTGTTCCTGGGATCTGAGACAGTCCGCGATCTGTTGAAAACATTGGGCAGACAAGAAGCTATCCAGAGCCAGATAGAAAGATGACTTGTATTAAGGAGGGCTTAGGGAGCTCAGGTTATGCTGATATTTCATTCTGGGTGCGTGGGACAGTTTCCCCTCTTGACTCTGGGACAGCCTAAGACTTGGTCTGCATCAACTGTCCTCTCAGGGAAGGACAAACACGGAAAAATTCTGCAGAAAGAGCCAAGCCTTGACTTGAAAAAGCCAGTTTGTGGAGACCTGAATCTACATTCAACTGAAGGAATGGGGCTACAGGAAGGGTCTGAAAGGGAAGGGGACTAAGACGAATTCAGAGAGGGCACCGAGACAGGACACACACACTTGGCAAAGGAGAGGTGCGTGGGCCACGGAGAAGGGAGACTTGAGAAGAAAGAAGGACTCGGCGGGCAGGAGTGGCGCGGGGCGGGGAAGGAGCTAGGGAAGCTGTCCCTGCCGCAACGTGCGCTCAGTGGACCAGGTAGGAGGGTCTCCAGGCCGGCGCGTCGCTTGTGAGCGCAGAGACTGCGGTGGCTGAACAGGTGAGCGGCCGCTGGGCGGCGGGTCCCCGCCCTTCTCTGCGAGCGTGTCTCCTCCTACGGATTCTCCCCAGCACTTAGCTGTTCCGCGGCTCCCCTGGGTTTGGGGTTTTGCAGCTGGCAGCTGGCCTTTTCCCCTCCCCTGTCTCGGTCTCTCCTTGTTTTAGGTTGCTCCACCCCGCCCAGGATCAGGCGAGGGGGAACCAGCTGGGCTGCGCCTGCCAACTCGCGCGGAGTGCGTCGGCGAACTCCGAGAGCGGAGTCTCGCGTGCCGCCTGCTCCCTGCGGGACGCGCTCCTCTAGCTCCCACCGGCCCCGCTTTCTCCCCGCCGCAACCCTTCCCCACTTTTCCCCCCTTTTGCAATCACATGGCATTTTAAGAATGCCGGAAAGATGGCGGTAGCGGCGGCGGCGGTGGCGGCTGGGCCGGCTGGCGGAGGTGGCGGCCGGGCTCAGCGGAGCGGTCTTCTGGAAGTTTTGGTGCGGGATCGCTGGCATAAAGTTCTGGTGAACTTGAGCGAGGACGCCCTGGTTCTCAGCTGTGAGGAGGGCGCTGCGGCGTACAACGGCATCGGGACTGCCACCAATGGCTCGTTCTGCAGGGGCGCTGGGGCCGGGCACCCGGGTACCGGAGGCGCGCAGCCCCCCGACTCGCCCGCGGGGGTCCGCACAGCCTTCACCGACCTGCCGGAGCAGGTGCCCGAGTCCATCTCCAACCAGAAGCGCGGCGTGAAGGTGCTGAAGCAAGAGTTGGGCGGTCTGGGCATCAGCATCAAGGGGGGCAAGGAGAACAAAATGCCTATACTCATCAGCAAGATCTTCAAGGGTCTGGCGGCCGACCAGACCCAAGCCCTGTATGTGGGCGATGCCATCCTGTCCGTGAACGGCGCAGACCTGCGGGACGCTACCCACGACGAGGCGGTGCAGGCGCTGAAACGAGCCGGCAAGGAAGTGCTGCTGGAAGGTAAGGGGTTAACGCCGCGCGTGCCGCGTACACCTACCCGTCTGCCACCCGCAAACACACTCACAGGCAGCCAGGTGTCCTTACACCCCAGGGCCCGCGGTGTGTGTGTGTGTGTGTGTGTGTGAGGGCCGGTGGATCAGGGTGGCCGCAGCATGGAGTTTTGAGTTTTGACAACTTTCGCCCACCTGGGTACGACTTGTCCTCACTCCCAGGACGTTACAGGCCTTGACCCAGGAGTAGGTACCTGAAAAGGCTAGGAAAGCGGGGTTTCTTGACCGGCTCCGGTGCTAAATGGTGCTAAATGCCTGTTGTTTCATTTTTATCAACAGTCGATCCGAATTCAGTGTAGGGATTGGAAAGTGGAACAGCACACGAAGAGTAGAGAGGATGTTAACTCGTCCAAGTTGCAAATCGGGGCCATTGATTAACCTCGAACCTGATAGTTTTCTCCTTTATCAAAATGTCCCCCTCAGAAACCTGGGCAACCCAGCCTTAAAGGGTTGAATGGAATCATAAAGGAACCAGAGAGAGGTGGCAGTCTTTGAATGCTAAACTCCAGCAGTCCTTCCCCACATCCCTCATGCAAATAGGAGACAGTGGGGCTCTGCCTTGGGAGTAGTGCCAAAGACTGGGAAATGTGTTGCAGTTAGGCACGAGTTCCCTTCCACTGGCCCGTGTTTGGCCGGTCAGTCTGGATTCCAGGTTCCTCTGGGTGGAGAGCTGAAAGGATTTTTCTGCCTGTGTTTTCTGGAGCCTTTTCAGAGTGGTGTGGAATCAACTTTGCATTTGTAAAGTTTCTCCTGCATGTGAGGAACCTTAGAAACTCTCTCTCTTAAGATCTGATGTCCTTAACCCCCTAATTATTGACTGTGAATAGAATAGGAAGGCCCTTTTATACCTGTTGGAGGACATGTGGCACTATGTGGGGAAGAAGGGCAGGCAGGCTGGTAATTACTGGTAATTTCTCTTTCCCCTATAGCTGCATTTCTCTCATGTGATCTATTCTTCTCTTTAATGCTGTGGGTGTTACTGTGTGGACCCTAATATCATGTAGTAATTCTATTTCTATAGATTGAGTTGTCCTGAAGGGGGGCTTTTATTTAGTTATGGTTCTCTCTTGAGCTTAGGTGCTCAATGACATGCAGGCAGAGTGGATGAATAAATGAATTCATAGCTTTTGAAACATATTTCACCTGAGACATTGAGAGATAGTAATTAATTTAAGACCCAAACTAAGACTTTAGTAAATTTAGTTGTCTCCTAATTATGCTGGTGTGTGACACAGAAGGTTCCAAGTCAGGAAACTTTGCTAGGTGTGTGACAGCTGATGCAACTCCTGATCTAGAATACAAAGAGGGTCCCCCCCCCCCTTATTTGTCTAGAGAATTTGTGATGTCTTCATATTTAATTACCATCCTGGATCCAGAAAGTATTTGCTTTGGCTTGATGATTAACATAAGTAAACAGAAAAAAAAAAAAGTTTTCAGGACTCAGTGTGTTGGTTTGGGAGAGAAGAGCCACCCGGACAAGGTAGGGTCTGGACAAGTGCAGTTTGGACTGTAAACTGCTGGGTACATGCTCAGCCTGAAATACCTACTGATATCCGGGATAAGAGAGACAAAAGGAAAGTCATTTTTTTTTTTAGTTTAAACATTGTCCTTTATTATGTCCCTTCTTTATTTCCTCTTCTAGTTTTCTATTTAATGAATAATGATTTGGCAAAGAGGTAAAAAAAAAAAAAAAAAACCTCTCACCAGAAAAGAGAAAGATGAATAAATACAAAGGAAAAAGGTGATTCTGTGTAGTTAAAACTAAACTTAGAAAAATAAAATAAATCAAACAGCTATGTAGTTTTCTTGAGACAGCAACCAAAAACTGAAGTTTTGCAAAACCCCTCACATGACATTTTCAGAACACTGCCATATGTTGCAGGCAGGGCGTGTAGAGAAGATCTGGGGCCTTCTAGAAGTGAACAACTTTGGCTCAGTGTGGAAGACTTTTCCCCAGCCCAATTTTTAAGAAATTGACTGCTAAGAAGAGATACAAATGCAGGCCTCTCTCAAGAGACTGTCTCTTGTTTGGTAGGTCCTACAGTGTCCAGAATGTGATGGTCATGGTCATACTTCAAGGCAGGCATCAAAACCCTCTCTTTTGTAGCTGGCCTAGTGCAGAGATTCCCAGTTGAGGAGATTTGTTAGAACCACCTCAAGGCTTCATTAAAACACACACCTCATATTCTGAATGCAGGGTCAAGTCTAAAATTTCTACGAGAGGCTTTGGGAACGTAATCTGGTTGACTAGAGCACTAAGGGAGATTCTTAAAGATATATTTTTTTATGCCAAATATACAGTTTTATTTTATTTTATTTGAGGGAGTTTTGGGGGATTAGTTTAGTACCCCACCCACCATCAGTGTGCACCATTTCTGCACATGCGCCCCCTTGTGGAAAGTTACTACCTCTACTAGGAGAACACCCTGCAAAGTGAAACCAGGAACAGCAAGTTTCAACCCTGCCATTCTAGTGCTAGATTCTGCCACAGAGTTATACCTTCTTCCCTGAATCTTAGTGCCTTCATCAGCAAAATTGGAATAAGGAAACTGCTGGGCCTCCTTACTTCACAGGTACATCCTATGGAAGAGCATAAAGGGCCTACATCAATGCCTGCTGAAAGTATTTTTACAATTTAAATGAAACAAACAGGAAACTGTCCCTTCTAAGGAGCAATCCTTTCCTTTTCCTTTACCGGAGTTTACATTTCTTAACTGAAATTGAATGGTAATGCTGGAAGAGATCATTCCTTTGGGGGCCACAGGATTTAAACAGAATCTGAGGATCAAGAATCATGATAATAACTCACATTTCTTGAGCATCCTAGAATTTATTTGCATTTATTCATGATACACTTAAAGTAATTCTGTAAGGCCAATACTATTGTTGCTCACTTTATTAAAGAGGAAACTAAAATTTATGAACACTAGGTTATTGGCTTAAAGGACCAGGAGCACATCAGAAGTCTTGGTCTATGTGATCTAAAAGTTCATACCTTCAACCTCTAGACACACATGGTACTGTGCACTAGAGCCAGTTGAAGCTATTGGGCTCCTGGCATTTTGCCCCATTCCCCAGATATGCTAAAGAACTGAAGACTATCCTGAGCAGGAACCTGGAATTATACAGAATACTCCAAAGGAAGGGGAGGAAAGGAGGATAAAGTCTTAAAATCTGGATACAACACATGCCTGGCCATCAAAAGGAAGCTGCTGTGGTGTGGCCCACTATCACAGAGAGACAAGGTTGAACACATGGCTAGTACGGAGACCAAACTACAATTCAGATTTCAGTAGCAAACAAAGTGCCAATTAAGCCATTGGCTACTAAGTACTCATTAACTTACGATCAGAAGTTTTCATACCATACTCATTTCTCATTTTAAGGAGGGGATCAAGGACCCCAGAATCAACCATGCAGGTATTGGAACCTATAATTCCAGGGACACCATTCTCATAGACTGCAATGTGACTGGAATGTTTTGCAGATGGGCAGGGTACATCTGCATACACGTCCTTGGCAGCTCTGTGTATGGGAAGAGATTTTGCTCCTTAGTTGGTTTGTAAAATAATAATTTGAAATATGTGTCAACTTTTTATAATTGAGACAATAATAAAATTAATTATTCTGTAACTTTGTCAAGATTGAGTTGTTCAGAATGTTCCAGAAGATTGAAGTGTGGAGGTGGGGCTAGACAGAGTATCCCTGGGTCCAAAAGGTTCCCATGGAACTGGATCAGAAAAAGTAAAAACTTAAAGGAGAAAGCCAGGGACAGTGCTAAACATGAACTGTGTCCACAGGGTGAACGTTTAGTTCTGCTCCAGGATGCTTAGGTCATCTGGAATCTCCTTTTTGTATCACTTTCTCTGGTGGTAGAAGTGGGGGTTGTGGAACAGGAAGATGGGGCTAACAGGTGGACAGTGTTTTTTTGTGGCAGGATTGGAAGAGAATGTCATCTTTGAGGAATCTTACTTTGTTTAAGCCATAGAGATTCTTAAAGAATACTCAGATTCTGGAATGAAAGTCTTGAGACCTGGGTTTCATTTTTTAACAAGTTACCATATTTGTTTGGGCCCTGGTTTTCTTCGTTGAATAGCTGGGTGTAGCTACCTGTAAATCTTATTCTCTCTGAATTCAGATCCAAAGCACACTTTGAATAACAAATTTGTTAACATCCCTTATACTATCATGAAATAAATCTCATAAATAATAGAGTATGTCTCTAATTTAAATTTTAAAATAATGTAATCTCGGGCTGGGGATGTGGCTCAAGCGGTAGCACGGTCGCCTGGCATGGGCGGGGCTCTGGGTTGGATCCTTAGCACCACATGCAAATAAAATAAAGATGTTGTATCCACCGAAAACTAAAAAATAAATATTAAAAAATTCTCTCTTTCTCTCTCTCTTTAAAATTAATTAATTAATTAATTAATGTAATGTCCCAACATTAAGATAATGAGGAAAGGAAAGACATTATTTCTTTTTAAAGCAGAATGTCAATAGATAAATACTACACTAGAGGTAATAATAAAGAAGTTCCACATTAGCACCTCTATGTAAAAGTCATCCTTGGTGCAACCTGAAAATGTGACAGGGGTGTGTGGTTTTATTTGGGGGTCTAGCAAAATATTTCACTGTGAAGGACTGCCCTGGGATGCCCAGGATCCCTGGCTGCCATCACTAAATTCTGGAAGTGTGATACCTCCTCTCCGAATGATAATCACACACTGTTCTAAACACTTTGCATGGATTCACTTCAATCCTCACCCAGTGTGGTTGTTGCTCCTGTTTCACAGATAAGAAAATTGAGGCACAGAGAGGTTTAAGTCTCTTGCCAGAGACACATGGTTACTGCTAAGTCTTAGATTCCAACACCGACCTTAGATTAGGGATGCTTGCCTCCACCTTGTTGATCAGGAAAGTGAAGCACCAAGAGGTGAGTGATTTGTC